TTGCATCTAGATGGCAGCTTGCAAGCTTTTAAGATCTCAGTCGCTACTAGCCACAGTAGAAGGTGGAACAATGATTTGTGTAGTATGTTATGCCAATTGAGCTTGATGTCCTCTGGGACTATGGTCCCGACCCCACAGGTTCAACTATTTGGTCCCTCAGGGTACCTGTCAGTGGCCAAGCAGTGACTACCACCTTGCCCCTTGTCAGCCCCATTATACACCTGGGAATTCAGATCATACACATAAAGTTATTAGGCCACTGTCTGCCCACCCTATACATGTTCTTGGGTGCACTCTCCATATAGATACCTAATATTTCAGCCTGTCCACCCATCTATCCACCCATGTACCCGTGTTTGCCTTCACTGAGCACGTCGTATTATATGTGCAAAAGGGTTCATCTTTGTTGTCTGTACTTCCCACGTAGCTCTCTATGTCTTTCTCTTCCTCAATGCTGAGGTCCTCTCTCTTGTAAATCTCACCTAACATCGCTCCCGGTCCCCATGCCCGGGTGCTGGTGGCTCAGAGCTAACCGCCTCGGAGAGGGGTAAACTAGCAACTGTGGTCACTCCGGCAGGTAGCAAATTGACCAGGCGGTCGGCAAGGTCCAAGAAGTAACTGCCTTCGCCAGGCAACCCACCACGGCTCTGTGGAAAAGCGCGGCAGGTCCTGCGCACGCGCGCTGCCGGATTCGTGCCGCTTTGTTCCTTCGCTACCTGTGGCTCCTTTCACCTCCCCGACCCCGCCCGCCTGAGATGATCCTGTGCAATCGTGGAGGCCCCGCCCATTTCCCGCGCGGGGTGGGACTAGTGACAGACCCCGCCCCCTACCTCACCGCCTCTTTCGGCAGCGATTGACCATCTACGCAGCGCGCGCCCGCCTACCTCAAAAGTTGATTGGTGCATTGGGAGGAAAGTGGGAGAAGGAAAGCAGATTAGAAAGAAGAGCTCGACTCCCACCCGCCTCTGTGAATAAGTCACGTGGCACTTCACTCGGCTTCTGTCACCTCTTCGCTTGTAAAGCTTTCTTAAAGAGCCCGCGATCCCTTTCTAGGGCTGGTCCTGTTCAGGAATCCTCTACCCCTGTCTGCGAACGGTGGCGCTGCCAGTAGCCCAGGTGCTGATCCTCTATCAAGTCCTGCTGGGGTGAAACCCAGCAGGAGTTTGTGACCGAAACGAAGTGGTCACATGAAACAATGACCGCCTAGCGCAGTGCCTGGCACTTAGTAGGCGGTCGACTTCCATTTATTGAATGAATCTGTGATATAATGAATGAATGGAGTTGGCTGGCAGAAGGAGGGGAGGTTGGCTCAGCGTGACCCTCACCCGCCCCATCCCCGGGAAAACTGCTTCTGTGACTGTGGGGCAGTGGCAAGGGGCAGGAAGGATGCCCTCAGGGCAGCCCTTCACAGTGGGCACAGAAGCTCTGGGAGCCCGAGCGGAGAGGACCTGGGAAGGTATTTTGGCCAGGTCCCATAAGCGAGTCACAACCAGCTCCGTGCAAGGCGAGACAACGTGGGCGGGGCGAAGGCCAGGGCGCTGGCATCCTGGCGCCCCGGACCGCGAGCGCGCCCTCGAACCCCGTGGGGAGGGGCGGAAGAGGCGCGGCGCCTTTAAGCCCGGGCGCCGGCCCCGCGGCCCCGCCCCCCAGAGGACGCCTCGGCGCGCGGCCGCCAGAGCCGCGGTTTAATTGGGGCT